CGTTAGATAAAGATAAAGGGGACAGTTCATTAGGAGCATAGATACACCATTCTTAAAGACGTTTATGCACCTAGTAACAGAAGGTTAAAGTATATGAGACAAAGACTAGTAGAATTGCAAGGAGAAATAGACAGTGATAGGGATTTCAATACTCCTCTCTCAGTAATAGAAGAGAAAGAAAATCAGTAAGAGGGGTACGGGGTATAGCCCAGTGGTAGAGCACATGCTTGGTGTGCACAAGGTCCTGGGTTCAATCCTCAGTGCCTGTTAGGAAGAAAAAATAAAATTAAAAGGAGATGGGAGACGAACAACTCAATCAGTTTGGTATTTATAGAACACTGTACAATAAGAACTAAATACATATCCTTTTCAGGTGCACATAGAATACTGACCAAGACAAACTATTTCTGGGTCATGGAATAAATCTCAGTAAATTAAAAAAGTTCAAGTCATACAGATGTGTTCCTGACCACAGTAGAATTAAATTAGAAACCAATAACAGAATCTTGGTTTCTTGAAGAATCAAGTATTTGGAAACTGAAAAATGCACTTCTAAATATCACTCATGAATCAAAGAAGAATTAGAAAGGGAAATTTAAAAGTATTTTGAACTGAATGAAAATGAAACAGGTCAATAGTTTTGCCACTAAAACAGTAATCAGAGGGGAAATTTATAGCACTAAATGCCTGTATTAGAAAAGGAGAAATTTTCCCAAATCAATGATTATCACTGAATATTAATCAGTACAAAATGAATGAAATATTAATAGAGGCAATGACATGGATGAATCTTGTTGCAAAGTGAATGAAGCTAGTAAAAAAATACCCCAGCACATACATATGTATGTAAGATTCATTTATATTAAATTCTGGGAAATCCAGACTAATCTGTAGTGATAGAAAGCTGATCATTGGTTTCCTGGAGTCCAAAGCAGGGGAGCAGAAAGGAACGGGAGGGAGGGATTTCATAAAACTTGGGGAAACTCTGGGGCATGATGGAGATAGTCATTTTTATGATTTGGGTAGTGACCTCCTATTGTCCACCTATGTTAAGAGTTATCAGAGTTTACATTTAAGTATGTGCAGTTGTTAAATGGCAGTTACCGGAATAAAACTGTTAAGAAAAATTTACCAGGTCATTCATGTTTCATTTGGAATAGAAAGATTACTGTTAGCACCTTATAAAGCTATTAGGAGGTAGAGCAAGTTAAGCTCATTACAAGGAGATATACTTTGGAAAATATTTTATGTTTTTTTGAGTTTACTATGTACTTTTTAAAAGCCTGACCAATGTTCAGGGATACTAGTGACTTCTCAATCATTTGTCACATCACCTTAAGACAACTTTCTAGGTCTTACAGACCTTTTGGCATATTTTCAATGAAATATTGCATAATATTTTGTGTTCTGTTTTCATTTAGTATAAACTTCTTCCTGTCATTCTATCTAATTAAAAAAAATAATGGCTGAAATTTTTATTTTCCTGCACTGTTTATTAAATTAGTCCCTTAATTAATGGAATTGAATAATTTTATTGTGTTCTTAATAAGTACTCTTATTTGTAGTGGAGTCCAGCAGAGTATTAAATACTGAATTATACTTTAAAAGTAACAGTTTCCAGGGAATCATAGAAAAGTATAAAGTTGTTTTAATCCTGAGTTAGAAACCTCATCAGGAAATTATTTCATTTGTTAAAAAAAGCTTTATTGGTCATTTGTAAATAGGAAATACTCTCATTTTGTTTGGTTAGGATGTCTGAATTGAATAATTATTATTTCATTTAAAATATAATGACATTAATTAGACAACAGTACTTTTTAAGCAGAGGGTCGTAACTCCTGATTTAGTATATTTTTGTCCAGTGAGTAGGGACAGGGATCATATCCAAATGTTGGGGGATAATGTCAGTTTGGAGAACTCACAAAATAAAATGGACTTGGTTGTTTTGGACGTGAAAGTTGCAGTGTAGATTTAAGTGTATGAGAACCTAAAATCTATTTTTATTAATGAATTCTCACAAAGTAAATGTGTTGTTTGACTTAAATAAACATTGATTTTTTTCCAAATGTACATTTAAAGCTGTTTAATATATGAATGAAAATTAGAATTTAAAATATGAGTAGGAATTAGAATAGAAATTATGGATAGAAATATAATTATCTGTATATTAAAAAACCCATACATTTATAATTATAGGAATATAGCTAGAAAGTTATGAAGGGATTATCTAAATCATAGGGCAGGAATAGTAAAACTTTGATTTTCTTTTTCACTATTTCTTTTCTCATTTATTCCATTCTCTGCGGTGGTGTTGAAGTTAGGCAAATTTATGTTACCCAAGTCCTTGAGTCTTTTTTCTAGAAATGACTTTCACCTCCTAAAGCCAAAAGAAATTGTTTATTTTCTAATGAACAGATTTCATTTTCATCAACAATGTGATCCTGGTTTTGGTTGCCGGTTTTGCTTTATCTTTCAAAACAAGTAATACTCTTTTTAACATGTTAAAGGTGTGTGTCCATGCTATTTTATTACTTTATAAAACCCTTATTTTTATGTCTTAAATGAGTAATATTAAAGTGGTTTTAAGGATGCATTTTTATTATTTTAACTAATTTTACCATGAAAAATAATCTAATTATTATAATAATTTATTTCTTGAAGTGTTTCTTTAAGTTCTCTAATTGGGCTGGATGAATTTATACTATCTGTTAATAATAGTAGCTCTACTCTTTTATTCTTGGATTTTGTTTTTCGTGTTGTACCTCCCATGTCTTTTTTCTACCGTTTAGATTCTTTTACCTTTTTTCTCATTTCAAACTCATCTGAAATTAACTCTCAAACCACCGATCTTAAATTAGGTGAAAAAGGATGGAAGAGTTTACTCCCTTAATTTTACTTCTTAATTAAAATTCACTGCTGTTAGGTTTTTTGCATCTATGGTTGTTGAGTCTCTGAAAGTTGCAGTTAGTGGTAAATTTTCATTTACATTACTTTTAATAACATAATAGATTTGGAGGACCTTTGTAATTTGTTATAATGACATTTTATATATGACTTGTTTGGGAAAGGCAGAATAGACTCTTCCCCCCTTTTTCTCCACTATAGGATCCTTTAAAAGTAGTCTTTCAAATTAATTTAAAATTGATTTAATTTAGAGAGACTCAGCTTTGAAATCAAGTCTGTTACTCACGGTAAATGTAGGGTATAAATGAACTGGAAACTGGATGTTACCTGCTCCTCAGGACTAGATATTCTTTCTTAATGTTGCTAAGTTTGCTGTGTTTTGGTAATCTTCTAGTCCTGAGGTCCCCACCTCTCCTAAGAGTTTTGAACCCTTTTACCAAGTTATCAGTCTGTTTGATTTTATCATTACTCTCGTCTTCTAAAACAGATTTGGCATTAACTGCTACATGCTGGTTAAGCTCTAAAGTGGTCCTGTTGGTAGCCATTTGTTCCTTTATAACGCAGGATTACTACTTCAATAAAATGTGGTGGTTTATTTTCTCCTTCAGAAAGTAAGGATTTGACCATAGTTTTAAAGGACATGACAGTATTTTTGAAAACTTTAGAATTTGGAAAGTTTTAAAATAGACACATAAATTGATAGAAGAAGACTTTTTTTTCCTCTTCGGAAAATGTATTTTCGTTCACGCCTGATTCTTTTTTTTTTTTTCCCTTCAGAATTTCGTGTCTTAGATATGGTAGTAAAAGAGGTTCTCTGTATACCTAATATATTTTAATTCAGCCCAGATTTTAACATTTCTTCTCTATTTTGTCACTTTGTATTTAATTTTAGCTGGAATGTAACTAGTAAAATACCATTGTTTTAGAGCTTAAAATTAGGTTAGCCTGTTGACTAGCTGTCTTCTAAATCTAGTATTTTGTTTTGGACTCTTAACTTGGCAGTTTAAAGTGTCGTTTATCAAAAAGGGAAGTTGTTCTTGGATTGTACCGTAATTAGTCCATCTTCTTATTTTCTGTCTTCTGTGGAAGTGTATTTTTACATTCCAATGACCAGTTCTAAAATAATCTAGGTGGTTAAAATTTTTGCATCATGATTCAGTGTGTTTTAAACTTAGTTTATACGTACACATAAACTGTAGGCTGAAGTACGAATATACTAAATTATCTCCTTGGTTGACCCTTTTGGAAGTTGAATTTAAATATCATTAATGTTGGATGGTCATTGAATTTTCATTATACTTAAGCATGTAGGTCACTGTTTCAAAAAAATATTTAGGATATTCATTTGTTCCACACAAACAAAATATAGGCCGTTTATGAATTTGAATTACAGTCTTACAGTGTGCTAGTCTTAAAGCCAAAAGTACTGTGCCACTTGACTAGATAAAATGTGACATTGTACAACTGGGAGGAAATTTTTTTCATGTAATCTCAGTAAAATATTTTTAATATAACAGAAGTCACATGTGATACTTTGTATACATTGGGGCCTCTGTTGTGTTTTTCTTTTATCTTGATTCCTCCCACATGTTTACCTTGTTTTTAAGTGTTTTTCTCATCTTTACAGTTATTTAAATAACATGGCACCGTATTATTGGGGAAAAGTCTTAAGAGCTTATAAAGAAGGAAGTGATTAATTTTGGAATAAAGGCAGTTTTGACCTTTATCCTGGTAGAAGTGGTTTAAGGATATTAAATTTGAAACTTGTTGCTCAGTTTTGAGGTAGTTTCAACCTCCCAGTTCTCTAAAATGTGTTAGGATAGTTTAGTAATGATATCTATTTAGCAATAAAGGCAAATTTTCATGTTCTGAAAATTCTGCAAATTAAATGATTAAAACACTCAAATTTGATTTAAACATTTCCTTCAAGAAATTTAATTATACCACCTCAAAATATGGAAACCAAAAAACCCTGTAAATCCTTTCAATAAAATATTTTACTCAGTAAATAAAGCACTGTGGAATAATGCCTAGTAGATTCATTGTATTTTTTGGGCTTAAAGTATGTTAACTTACTATATTTGATTTTTAAATAGACACCAAATCCTACTGCAAGCGAGTTTATTCCTAAAGGAGGATCAACCTCCAGGCTGAGTAACGTGTCCCAGTCAAATATGTCTGCCTTCTCTCAAGTGTTCTCTCACCCATCCCTGGGAAGTCCTGCTGCTGCTGGATTAGCACCAGGTAAGTTGAGTAACTGTTTCCAGTGAGTTCCAGGTATCAGATCTCTAAGCACCATTTATTTGCCATTAGTTTATCAGAACTGAAATTGTATTTTTCAGCAGTTCACATTTGAACACGTTATGAGTGTTATATTGTAGGTCCTGGTACCATAGATCAAATGTGTAGTTGAAACTTTTAAAGCAAAATTTAAATATGAACAAAAATTAAATATAAAGATGTATAAAAGCACAAAAATAAAATTTAAAGGAGAGAATGGTTATTGAGAAAAAATCTACCTGGACTTTAATAGTTCCCTATTTTTGAAAGTTAATGATAATGCTATTTCACTCAAAAACTTTTGTAAAAGCATAAAAAATAGAATATTGATGTATACATATGCTTCAGGGTCCTCCTTTTGAAATAAATTTCTAAAAGATAATTTATATCATTCTAAATAAAAGTTTAGAACGTATTGCCTTCTGATGTTTGATTGTAAATCTATAGTAGTAATTTTAAATTGGATAAAGTATTATAAACTATAGTAGCAAAGAAATGTAAAACATTAGGGGTCATTGAGGTAGGGAAAACAGTACTTCACAGTCACTTTCTTCCAAGTTTACCCCTAGTGGCAGAAGAATTTGAACAAATGCTCTTGAGGCATAGTTTATAGTGACCCTTTGGGAACCCTATTGTCTTAGAAGGTCCTCTTAAAAATTTATGTGGATTCTGCATTCTGCTTTGTAACATAAACATTTATATAAAAATATGAAAATTTCTTAGGTAATTTTAACATCACCCATTCCTACTGCTTTGTACCTTAATTAGAAAAGCAAGGTGTGCACAATTATATTGAATTCATAGTAAGTGCTGAGCGGGTTACCTTTGTAAAATGGTTAAGCTGCCCACACAGATTATGTTTCTAGAACTTGTACTGGATACTCATTGCTTGGTCTTGAATGTTTCAAGAAACAGAAACAAGATGAAATATATATACAGTAAAGCCAAAAGATCTATCTAGGTCAGCCTGGGACTATTACTGCCTCCCGGGCTTAGTCTAATCAGTCAGATAGGTCGTTGGTTTTGATATTGATATTGAAGGACCTTTTGGGGAAGAAGAATGAGAGACAATGATAATAGCTGTATAGAACAGAGCACCTGGTGTAGCTCTAAAGTGTCCAATGTTCTCAGAGGCTGAATAACTTTGTGTTGCCAAGGGTTTTATTAATGCTTCCTTTTCCCCGTCTCTCCCTCTCCCCACTTCTCCTTCCCCCTTCCCTTTCTTCTCCCATCTCCCCCTCCCTTCCCTTCTCTCTCCCTCCCTTCCTCCCCACTCATCCCCCACTCATCCTTTTTTTTTTCCCAGTGAGCATTTGATCATTTTATTAACAAAATACAAGCAAGAATTACATCATTCTCTGATGAAACTTCCTCAGTAATTTTATACGGAGGGCCTTGAGATGTACCTGGCAATTCCCTCGCCCTTACTTGTCCCTTTACCTTTTCTTCTACGTTGGCTCTTTTCAGGTTCAGTTAAATTTGTAAACATTTTCCCTTCTTCCCTAGAGAGCAATGTCATAATTGAATGTCCCTGGTAGCCTTAAAGTTTTACTTGTAAGTAATATGCTACTATGATTTTTCTCCCTCTAAGGTGTGTTCACAGTGTTTACATGAGCATAAAATCTACATGTCAGCTATACATCTAAAGTTTCTTATTGGATGGTTCTGACTTCTGAGCAGTGTTTATAAAGCACCTACAGAAATGGTATCCACAGAAAACTTTGGCTTTCTTAATTACCAATTTATTTTAGCCTAACAACACATCTTCCCTTGTTTCATGAGAAAATATTTTGTTCATATCTTTGCACGGACTAGTTCAGGCTTGTCATTAAAAAGATAGGCTTTTTAAATATTGGGGGAGTTAAAAATGTCAAAGGGAATTTTAGATCTTGAAAACATCTAATTATAAAATCCATTAATGTTGTTGTATTTGTTTAAGCTTTTCAGTAGGAGTTAACTTGTATGTAGGTATTAGTCCCAATTCGGTTTCACAACCTAAATTTAGGATTAAATGCATTAATTTAAAAATTAGTTGAGAAACTATTTACTCTTCTGCTTAGCTCTAACATTAAAATGGTCATTCTACTTCCTATTAATAAAAATAATTACTGTCTGGAATAATTGAAAATAGGTCACTATATTATATTAAATGTATTCCTGAACTCTTTATACCAGTTATTTAAAAACTTCTTCATTCAAGTGACAATCAACTAAGCTAAAATATTTTAAAAAACACTGGAGTGATGAATGGTTTTGCATTTTTTATTTTCTCCTTTTAATGTCTTAACACTCTGGAGATGAACAAAGAAAAAAAAATTAGGTCTGCCTACTTTCAAAAAACCATTTTATTCCTTCAGTATCTTCCGTTACTTCTTACCCATAACTGTTATTTTTTTGAAGACTTAGGAAAGGTTCTTGGCATTTCCACTTATTTAAGATTGTAGAATAAGGAAGGTCTTAGAAGTTTTACCTACCTCAGTGGTTGTTTAATTGATCTTTAGTGCTCCTTGTCTACTGAAGGTGTAAACTGGTAACTTTCTGTTGTAAAGTTTCATTTTCTCTTTTTTCCAATTTCTATTCCAGAAATTATTATCCTTGAAAATTTGTCACATTACTGTTTTCCTAAAAGATACAAGAACTTAAATATTTTGACACTTAAATGTGAACTATAGAACAATGTCATTTTCATTATATACAAAAAATACATATTTTAATATATTTTTCACCAAAAATGTATGCTCAAAATATATCTTTTGAGCAAAGTTGAGTAGATATTAAGATTTTGAATTTCCTCAAATTGTAAGGAACAGAAGCAAATTTCCTCGAATGCCTGGAACAGAGTAGATCCTGAGTGAAGCAAGTTCCTTGAAAACTCATTTTGATTACTTTAAAAACATGATTTATTTATTTTTTGTTTCATTTTATGTTTTCTTTTTTTCTTTTTCATTTTTCAGTTTTATTAGGTAGAATTGTTACAAATTGACTGCATATATGCAGTATATTGCGTGTAATTACATACCCGCAATATACTGTACATACTCTTTTTTAGTTTACATCTATGTACTGTTCATTGTTTCTAAGAATGTTTAGAGCTTTAGCTTTTTAAACTTACATAGTTATCAGAGGAATAAAGCCAACCACAAAATAAGAATTAATTCAGAAAGATACATACACCCCACTAGTGCCTGGAACAGAGTAGATCCTGAGGGAATCAAATTCATTTAAAACTTGTTCTGATTACTTTAAAAAGCACAGTTTATATTTTAAAAAAGTTTTAATGCAATAAGTAAAACTTTATACAAAAGTTATTTGAATTTAAATAGCTAATTAGGTTTAAAGGGATTTAAATGTGTTAAAATAAGCTGGACATGTCAAGTTTCCATTGAATTGTATATCCAGTCATTTTATTTTAATTTAAGAAATCAAAGATCTTTAGGTTTAGTTGTTTTGTGTACATTTAACCTGAGAACAATAGCTACATTTCTGAATATCTTTCATGAAGTTATTTGGGGTATGGCACTTAACTTGGGCTCCATTGTCTTTTAGAACCCCTACAATTATATACGTATTTTTTTTATTTGTAAATACGCATTTTTCTCTGGTCACAGCTTGTATTATTCTCTTGGAGGTTCACAGTCTTCCAAAAGTTAAGAAGCACTGGTTTAACACACCCTTAGCAAAATTTATTTCCTGAGTATGATGTAGTAAGAATACTTTTAAAGTAATGTGTTAAAATACAGATTTCTAATAGCTCTGCTTTAGGCAAACATTTTTTGAATAGTCATTAGAAATAGTCACTAAGTATGTGAAAAGGCAGCTTATACTTCAGGTTTTTGTGCTATGAAAAATAATTTTATTATGAGAACTAAATGCTGAGTAGTTTTTTATCAGAATTTTTCCTAAGAGTATTTTGATTTGATAGTAGACTTAGTAAACTAAGTCTTGGTGTACTTTAATTACTTCAGTCTTGGCCACTATCTGTTTAAAAGTGATTTTAAGAGAGGTAGCAACAGGAGCGAACGTTTCTGGGTGGTGTTTTGATGAATCATCTGGTAGTTTAATGTACAGTTGTGACTCATGAATCTTGTTCTGCTTAATTGTTTGTGCACACTTGAGGGGGATAGTTCTTGAATTTAAAAATGCCTTTATTGATTAATAAATGAGAAAGAGAGCTGTAAGTGACTTTTCAGTATTTTCAAATATCTCAGGTGAGATTTGGGGAGAAGCATTTAATTATTATACTAAACTTACCATTATTAAATATATTCACTTATTACAAATTTTATTATATTTTAGATAAATGTAAACTATATTTTTAGATCCAGTCTTTTGAAATACTTAGTCATTTCTTATATATTCCTGAGGGTACCAAAATGATAGATAGGTAAGATTGGCTAATATTCTTCATTTTTTTGGCTTGGGCAAGGTGTGGGGGAAAAGAAGGGGAAGAAAAAGGGGAAATTAATATTTATTCATCATTCTTTGTTAAAAATATTCAACTTTATATATGTATAATGTACTATTTAAAACTATTATAATGTTAAAAGGAGATCTTTTTTTAGTTTTAAGGTTCTATGCTAAAAAATAAAGTTCTGTGATTCATTAGCTCTGTAGTATTTCAGACCATAATGAAGAAATGGAGGCTTACCTCATTTAAGTTGCATCGTAGTTGGCTTATGTGATAGTCTGATATTGGTCATTGATGTAGGTGGAAATTTTGGGATTTACGTAGTTTAGCCTTGTGGCAGTTTAGAGATGGCATTCCTGAGAGATTATCATATAGCTTCTGCTTTGTCACTTACAGTAAGAGGGAATTTTTAAAATTTATTTGTTTATTTATTGGGGGGAGGTACTGGGGATTGAACCCTGGACATAGTACATGCTAAGCAGGCGCTCTACCACTGAGCTGTACCCTCCCCCTAGTATTAAGGAGTTACTTAGCTAACCAAGGCAGCCCAGTGAAC